TCTTTTTTGCCATATTATCTTATACTATTGGGAATATAATTTTTTTATTTTTAAATTTAATAATTATAGCTGCAAGGGTATACAAACTTCGGCTTGCCGAAGTTAACTTTCTTTCTTGTTTACAATCTTCTACCTTATGTTTCGCATAGTTTTGCAGGCTGCACTTTTAATCGAGCGGATATAAGCCGCTCAATTTTATAAACACTGTCTTATATATAATTTTGATGAACATTTATATTTTGATGTAAAATAACGATGTCTTCGATGACATCCTTTTTCTGCATCAGCTGGTCATCGCCGACCCCTCGCACTTCTATATGCTGCTGCAGCTGTCCGGGGGCTATAGGCTCAGCCGGGACCGGTGCCGGTCATCGCACAGGTCTTTGGTTTTATACAAGTCGATAGGCACGTCGAACCCCAGTCGGACCATCAGGCATGTGGAGCTTGATTCCACAATAAATTCCATAGGAAAAATTCAGGGGTTGGCACCACGGGCCATTTTCCATAGGAATTTCCTATGTTAAGCGGTCGCGAACGTTTCAGTACTGAAAACTTTGCACAGCCTTAATAAAAGCGAATGGACTTTGTCCATAATGGGGATGTGAACCTGCTGCCCTATTGTACATTGTGTACATTTTTCCTATGGACTGGTCCGACTGGGACTTTATAAGGTCCTTGGCAGTCGGCGAGGCAGATCTTTCTTTGTTTTGAAATTTCCTTAAAAGATGGTGGAATTAGTTTTGATCTTTTATTTACGATTTGCATATTTTTAGAGTGAATGGCGACTTTTGCTTTTGTTATATGCTCGAAATTTGTTTGTAGGAAGTCAAGCTCGTCTTGCAATTTTTAGCCAGTGGCCCACGCAGGGTGTGTTTTACTTGTATATAGGAGCTACAAGACAAATTTGAACTGAAGTTTATTGAGGCAAGGTTTTTTCTTAACAGCCGATGACAATCCGATGGCCATCCATATATAAAAATGCCTTAAAAGGTTCAATACCTGAAAATGCAATTGTCATTATTTTAGCTCTATCCTATTGATCGACAATATCATCTATTCTTATTAGTGGAAATTTGTCAGATATTTTTTTGTTAATTTGGCGATAGTTGATTACTAAGCGCCATCTTTTAGTAGGCAATTTTCGTATGGTTTTGTGTGATGATTAATAATGGATTGTTATTTCTCCACTTGTTATTGTTCTTCTTCTTTCTGACTATGTGGATTTATAGTTCTTAATGTGTCATCATCTGTCATTCTAGTTGCTTGTTTGTAGAAAATATTAGTTGATATCAATACGGAATCTGTTCCGAATATATCTGTGTATTTGGCGCATAATTTTATGCATTTGTTTAAATAGAAGGAAATGATTTTTATTTAGTTTATCTAAGAATTCCTTATGATTTTAATTTTGGGTTGTTTTAACTATGTCGTAATTACCCAACGGCTTAACTTTTAGTGTATTAAATTGAACGATTGCGTTTTTATTTGTTGCGTTCAAAATTCAGACAAACGTGGTTTCGGAATCAGTAATGGAGTTTCCCATAAATATTCAATTTTTGACTTCTTGTTTTGGTATAAATATATAACTAGTTTCTGAGTTTATAGCGTTTTTTCGGACGACTTCGGATCTTGCTAATAGAATTCTCTAATTGTCTTAGAGTGTTTGGTGTATTGAAATATTGATGGGGGGCTAAAGTTCATCGGGTCCGAGTTTAAGCCAATAGCTTTCTGGTTTAAGACCTATTTGACAATTGTATTTTTTCATTAAGTCTATACCTATTATTCCAACACATAGAATAGGAAAATTTGAATCTAATAAGTGAAATGTATGTCGGATAGCATAGTTAGTTGAAAGAAGTTCTATTGACGCTAGTCCCTTGGAATCGCTAGTTCCTTTACCGACACCAGTTATTGGACTAATTTCTCTATAATCGATATTGTTATTGTGGTTCCCGTTATTGAAACCTACTGGGTTATTTCCTCAATTTTTTTTGTGAGGAGTTGAATAACTCCCCACAAATATAAGCAGCAGCAGCAGCGGATGGCGGGCCGCTTATCAGATACGCGGCGAATTCGCGTAATAACGGCGCGGCGAGGAGAGGATGGAGAACGAGAGAGTTTGGAGACCAAGGATTTAGAGCGAGAGAGTTTGGAGACCAAGGATGGAGATCGAGATAGTTTGGAGACCAAGGATGAAGATCCAGAGAGTTTGGAGACCAAGGAGCGGATAGGGAGAGAGTTGAGACTTGCCGGGCAGAGCAAGAGTGCCATGTGGGGATAACGGGACTCCACCGTACTTTGGACTCTCCCGTGAACTTTGGACCGGGAGAAGAAATACCACATCTCGGCAGTGGAGCGGCACACAGGTGTGCCACCAGCATCACGGGAATCAGCGGGACGGCAGCAGTGGGCGGAGCATCGATTGGAAGCGGTACGTGAAGGGCAAGTGGGTCAAGTAGGAGGCACGGACTTTGGACCCGGAGTGGAGAGATTCAGCGGGCCATGCGCAATAGGCAAATAACGGTTCCCGGAGGCCCTATATAAGGCCGCAGAGCGCTGGCAGCTGGATCAGTCGATCACAAGGAGTCAAACCATCAAGATCACTTAGATACCAAAGTAAACAATCAAACAACCAGATAATCTACTAGGGAGCAACAGCAAGTCGAGTCGCCAGAGAAGCGGCGCCGTGGGAGCCTACAAGGAGCAAGATTGCTACGTCGAGACGTTCGGGATTGGGATACCAGGAATCTCCGAATTGAGACGCAGGGAGCTGAGGTCCAGAGGGCATCACACGGCTAGGTCAAGGCGGTCGGTTAACCTTATCCACAAAGTCCTGGCGTTACGCCTGGAGAGAGTATAACAAACCAGAAGGGAGAGCGATCGATCGGTACGGTCTCGAGAGGAATTGTCCAGGAGAGCCCTACAGATTCGACTTTCGAGGTCCCGGAGAGGCGTGCCCGAACCCCAAATATAACAAGCCAGAAGGGAGAGCGGTCGATTGGTACGGTCTCGAGTGGAATTGTCCAGGAGAGCCCTACGGATTCGACTTGCGAGGTCCCGGAGGGGCGTGCCAGAACCCCGAGTACCAAAAGCCACGCGGAAACGTCCCGGACCAAAAGCAAAGGGTTGAGGCTAGGGTGGAACGTTCGTTTACACTAGGCGTGGAAGCGAAGTAAAGCGCGAGGCAGCTTCCTGGCGTTCCGCCTTGCCTGTCCGCGCGGGCTGAGCGGAAACCCCAGTGGGACCATCCGGGACAGAGCAAGGGACAGGCGGCGACTAGGTTCACCCTAGTCTGAGAAGGGTGACGCTTCTTTAAGCCCGTACGGCTGATCCCCCTCGCGAGTCCGAGTCGTTACCAGCAGTCAGAGGAGCGAGCAGCGAGCGAGCGTCTTCAGGGAGCTGCGAGGATCTTCAGGGAGCTACAGGACGTTCCAAAGGTCACAAGCGACGAGTCAAGGCCAACCAAGCTACCAAGACATTTGTAATAATAAACCCGCAATAAACCCACTACGAACCCGTGAATTCTGTGCTTTCTCACTGAGCTACTGGGCGGTCACGTTTATATAAATTTGGTGGGTCGAACACGCAATCTACTGAGCTAGCCGCACGAATCTCGTAGCGAGCAGACCACAAAAATCAGTTCGTTACAGGTTAAAGCCGTTATTTTGGTAATACTTGTTTCCTCTACCACGATAATTATCTCGGTAGTTATTACCGCGATAGGTTACCCGTTTCTTTTGTATAATACTGAAATCTCGTTGCCTGTAATTTTGGTAGTAAATTGTATGTACTTTGTGGCGGCTTCATTCATTGTATTGAAATTTCCTGCTTCCAGCATTCTCGAAAACCATCAAAGATATAGAATTGGGATTTCAAATTTAGATTCCGTAGCTTTGAAGTCTGACGCCCACAAGCCACCCAAAACAGTTGCGGCCAAAAATTTCATGCTAAAAAATAATTTTTAACTGAAATGTATTTTTCTCGTCAATACCTATCGGTTAACCTAAAAAAGTTTGCCACGCTCACTGTCTTCCGCCCACATAACCATATATTGAGATCGTGGGTAGGATGCCCATTATAATCGCCCTTTGCTGCTTGTATATCTGCATCTCGCTTTGGTCCCTTTAGCTGAATAACGGGTATCTGATAGACGAGGCACTCGACTATAGTGTTCTTCCCTGTTTTGATTGAAATAAAACTGGAACTCAAAATTCTTTCAATTTAATACCCATGGCTTTGAAAAGTGTGATCTTAAATTGTTGGGCGTGGTCAACTTAGTATTTTTCCAACTATTTACACTGCCATTGGTCTTAAATTGGTAGAAATTAGAGATGTTAAATCGGAAAGTACTCATCGAAACTAGCTTAAGCTAGTTTGTGTTTCTTTGGATTAGCTCGTGTTTTCTTATTATAACGAGTTAAAGTTGTAAATACCAATTTTATTTATAATGGCCACACCTTTTAAGCCGATTGAACTCATGTCTTCAGCGGTTATGTAGCTATGAACCCAAGGAACTAAAAAACCAACACACCCTTTCAAAGAAGCGAACCTAATAGTTAAAAAACGAAAAAAAAAATATTTTTTGGGGTTAATCGAACTCTTTTCTCCTTTAAGGGATTCCACTTAATTATTATATTGGATGTTAATGAAGCTAAATACAGATTCAATTATTTGGATATTGGAGCATATGGTCAACCAGGACCGAAACAGAAAAATCTTGATAATCATCGTGTTTTTTGCGTATTTACATAGATAAATGGCAATATTTTCATAATACAGTGGAACCATAGCATATTTTATTGATTTTGTTGAAGAAATTTCCCTGGAAACTGAAAAATTTACTTGTTATCATTTTTAGCTACTTTTAAAGTCATTTTTATGTTTAATTACTTCGCAAGGAAAACATACGATTTGTTTGCACCTTTTCTATCAAATCTCTTTATTGCAATCTAATAAGAATATAAAAACCAAAAGAGGGCGAAAAAATGTTCAATTAACTATTAATAAAACAATATGGAAAAATCGTACGTTCGCGACGGGTATTTAATTCAATAAAAAAACAAATGGAGTTATTTCCTTGGGAACACACTCGATAGAAAGCTACATGAATCCTTTTTTAAAAAGTAAAGTTATTGCTTTAGAATATTCCGTCCCAATTCGCAGATTTTAGCATTTTACTAGATTAAGCCAAAGTCGACATCTCCACTAGAGCCAAATGTTCTTCGGTTTTCCTTTACCTTGGGTCGCCTTTTGTTCGGAGTTGTTTTTGGCCTTCGATGTCGAACAGCTTCAGATTTGTTCATAATTGAGATAATTAATGGACTCGTCGTCTTTCTTAAAATTTGTGATATAAGTTTTAAAAAAGTTGAATTTTTTAATCTTTTGGGTGTTCATATACAGGGTAAAGTACTTACGTTATTTTTTTGAAGAAGAAACTCCCACTGAACTTTATCTTCGTACTTCAAAGCATCCCCGTCATCTGCTTCTCTTTTTGATAATCGAAAGGAAACCTGCCTTCGATGGTACTTATAACTTTCTCGTAGATAGGTCACTGCATCCTTACATTCAATCACCTATTAAAAATAATAAAGTTATATAAATATCCGTACTTATTGTCCTTACTTGCCAGTTTTCTTCAAAGTTTCGCCAATGAATTCCCATTCCTCTCTGAATATGTTACTATCAATAGTAATATCAATTAGTAAGGTCCCAAATTACGCTATGATTTTTAACGAAATGAATTATCAATTATTTTTCATTACTTAAGAATCTTTTGATGCGTTTTTGTCGTTGCGAACATATTTTGCGATTTGACTTTTAGTAACATAATTAATAGATCAAGAAATATATAAAATACATTATTTTTTAGCGGCATTACAGTATTTTTTTTTGTGTGGCATAAAGGCTGCTGACTTTTGACTGCTAACTTTTAAGATTGCTTAACCTATTCAATTAATGGTCCGATTTCAACCGCTATGTGAAAAAAATATAGGCGTTGTTTTGCTTTGCACTAAGAATTATTCAAAAACTTTTTATTATATTAAGATATGTAAAATTGTATATTTAGTTAAACATTCAAATTCAACAATAAATATTATATATTTAGTGAGTTAGAGGTTTTGTTACTCGCATATATTTTTAGCTTCCTCTAAATCACTGACTGCTTTGCATACCTCAGAAAACAAGTCTTTTAAAATAGAGGCTTGTCTACCTTGGGACCCGTCTATTGTAATTGTAGGAATAAATGTTACAGGAGGCCTCAGTGCGTGTGTGGCTTCTGCATTCAATTTAAGCAAATCCAGGCCTTGCTTACTGTCGGAACATTTTTGAATGAGCGTATAGTCTATATTGTGTTCTTTTGCGCACTGAAAATAAACAATTGATTTTTATTGTAAATAAATCTATAATACATAAATTTCATCGAGAAGAGCACCTGAAAATAAAAAAGGGTCAGATGTAAGTAAAGCAAGCCCAATCCATTTAAGGTTTTTAATTACACTAGCTTAAACATTTTAATTTTAAAACAAAGTCTTATGCAGTCTTATGTTGGTTGATAATAATTTTGGTGTGAAGAAGAACTGCCTGAGCATGCTGTATGTTCTGCCAGAAGTTTTGTAAATATGGTCCTGCCTGAAAAGAGCGCTGTTTATTGTATACCCGTGGTTTTCAGTTTAGTCAACGTAATCAATGAAAATATTTTTGGGTTTTGGTAAGTAAGTAAGTAAAATTTCAATCGTAGTGGACTAGATAAGTTTTTTATATATCACTGTTATTATACGCTCAAAAATATTACATACAGACGTACAGGCTTACACATATGTGTGCATATATTGTAATGTTTCAATTTAAGAAAAAATTTTGCAGATCATTCAGATGCAAAGAGAACAACAAAGAACCCAGAACAGAGCCTTGAGGAAGAGTGGTACAGGTACGAATTTCACGTATCTTTAGGTGCTCAAATTTATTGTTAAGGTCATTCCTGTTTATATTATTTTCCTGCTCTAAAGTTTTTTGCTAAATTTTTCAGAATATAACTATTTTAAATAGTTATGTTTTTTGCTCTACACTATTTTACAGCGATCTATACGAATCTTTAAAAGCTGCGGTCTTATATCTGGTTTGTTTGGCATAAGCTACGCCTCGTTTTGTAATTACTGACATATTACTTTGGCTGATCCAAGAGGATTTTCCGTCGGACAGGTACTCATTTTTCAAAGAAATAAACTATTTCCAAACACAAATGTTTGAATTGTATATCAGGAGTTTGTAAATGGCGTTCCAGTCAGGGCGACTAAAGAGTTCTGACACAGTTTGACACAGTTAAAAAATAATGAAAGATGCTCGCAATACCATAACAAATGAGTAACAATTTTATTATGCCACTATATAATAAAATATTTACTCATTTGTTATGGTATTGCGAGCATCTTTCATTATCGTTTCATCTTTTCTAACAAAATTACACCCAGAAAGCAAATCTAGGTGTCACAGAAAGCGGTTCAAAAATAAGTGCGCGAATTTAAAACAACCAAATAATAGGCTTTGAAAAGAACGTTTACAGGTCCTGCGCAGAGACCTTGTGTAGACCACTGCAAAAACTTTTTAATGTCTTTAGAAACCTGCAATTTCCAACATACTCGTATATGTATAAAGTCGTATTCACTTCATAAAAAGAGTAGCAAATTGAACGCATGTAACTAAGTTCTTTAATAACATTATTACACCCCATTTGCAACATAGTTGTAGGTCTCATATTTCCTCATGCCAACACGGATTTATAAAACGTAGGTTAACGACAACAAGCCTTTAGGGCTCCGCGGGTAACAAGCATTGGTTGGTGTCTTAGGGCCACTTGTTTGTACTGATCATAAAGCATTAATGTCCAAAAAAGAAACAAAAAGGCCAAATTTACTACGAATTTTAATAGATTCTGTGATACTGACGGTTTTGGTTGGTTGCATTCAAAGCCAACGGTCCTAAAAACCGTCGATGGTTTCTGTGAAACTTCTGTGGAAAAAATTTTTCTAGCTCCATTTCGGCGATTTCCATCGAAGAGGCCGATATCAATTCGAGATTATTGTATCCTATGTCCTAAAACTGGTTTCAGAAAAGAGTTACCCTCGCCAACATTCCTCAAACAAATAATACAGTACTCAGAGGTATAACTTGTTTAATTATTTTCTTTTGTATTTATCATACATTGGTAATCCTTATTTTTCACAAATAAATCAAAATACTTTTCCGAGCTGCCCCCTTTTGGCTGCGATACACATTTAAACTAGCATAGTTCTTATAATCCTAATTTTTCACAAATAAATAAAAATACTTTTTCCGAGCTGCCCCATTTTGGCTACCTGCGATACACATTTAAACAAGCATAGTTCTTATGTCTTTCCAAAATCTATTGCTGGTGCAAATTCAGAATTACCATTCCATCCTTACCGGCAGCCAAAGTATGTGGGACTCCTTTCACCGATATCCTTCGATTTTCAAAGATTTTGTATCTCCATTATCGATATGTCGAATACTATTGGTAACACTTATATCATTTCCGAATATAGTACCTTTAAATTAGAAGTCTATCTTAATGTAAAAAATACCTATCTTGTTATAAAAACATCTCTCAACTTCTATGTTTTTTGTATTCGCCAATTTAAAAACTATAAATGATCGAGAAAAATAATTAGTTCACCAAAATTATTATTGAACTGTGGTCGTCTCCTAAGTGCAGTAAAACTAAAGTGAAAGTGAACACAATAAAAAATAGTCGAAATGCATTCAAATTCTGCCATTGTTTCTTGACAAAGAACAAGTAGGCAAACCATTTTTGTTCGGAGATGCATAGGCGGAATGCATTTCAACCCATTGTCCCGTACAAGTCAATAAAATTTCTGAGGCGCTTGAAATGGGTTTTAAAAACTCAAAATGTTCAAGAGAAAGGCAGTGGTCTCTTATGGTGTTTCTGGAAGACGGTGAAAATGTACTTTATATGTACAATTCAAGGTAAAATTCTTTATTTATCAGAGACCGTTATTTAAGAGTTATGGGAATAAAAAAATCAAGCAGGGAGCCCTTTTCTATGATGTAAACACCAAGAATTTGTTGTCAATTTTTATTCAAAAGTTTAACAAATGAAATTATTTGGTACTTTTATTTACAAAAAGAAATGAAGATAGCTTCGGCAAGCCGAAGATTCTATACCCATTTATATATCCTTTATTATTTAAATGAATATATTTTATGGTTTTGCAAAGAGCTAGTGGGATGGCTCGGAGGGCGCCGAGCTGAAAGCTACCGAACGGGTAGCAGGTTGCGGATAGCGAGTGCCCTGGTTCTCCAGGGTAGTTACGAATAACCGTGGAAGTTGGATACGGCCCGGCTACCGCCAAGCCCCCAACATGAAGCGTAGGTAAGTAGCCCCGGACAGTAAGCGGGTATCTGCGCCGTAGCAGTACCGACGTCGCGCTTGTGCTGCCGCCTCCGACAAATAGCTCACACACTCTTTAAACCTATCTCTTCCCTACCCACACAACTCATCTCACCCCGGGCTGGACTAAGGTGTCATTCGAACCGTGCCGAGAGTCAATCTGGCTGGGAGCCCGAGTCATCAATTAACTCAGTCTCAAACGGTGAGCTCAGGCAAGTGGCGACCGCCTGTTCTAAGTCAGCCTTACCCGGGTTCGGCGGATCTCTGCCCGGGTGGACCTGTCCCTTCTCCGCAGCTCGTGAGAACCAACATGGAGAATCTAACTAATAGCAACAATATAACAGACAACAACAATAAAAAAGAGCCCGACACTCTCAGAAAGTCGGAAGTCGTAACCAACGACAATAAGAAGAGCAAGATCACGGCTCCGTTTACCCTAGTCCCTGTGACGTCGACCCCTGTCAAGGCCAGCGAACAACGCACCCGGCTAGGCCCAGCTCACCACAACGACAAGCCCAAGCCTTCCACCATCGTAGGTGTGGCTAACCAGCTACACCAGCCTGAGGGGATCGCCAAAGCCGGTCTCGTGGTGAGTACCAGGGCAAAGGAGTTAAAGAGGGTACCACCTAACCAGGCAGGACCTCTTGATCGCAAGAAAGCTTTTCGGATCCTCAAACGGCTGGCCACCAACCCGATACGAGAGGATCAAGCGTCAAAATCGGATTACCTAAAAAGCCAAGAGGACAAAGCCCGGGCAAAGGCGGTAATCCCAGACTTCGACATCGCTATGACCACCAGCAACAGCAACAAGCGAGAAAGGTCGATGGAGACAGCTCAACCAGCGAGCAAGAAGGCCAAAGTAACCAACCGCGGCACATGGTCGAGATCCTTTGCTGAGGTAGTAAAGGATCGGAAGATCAATGGAGTCATCGACCAGAGCGATGAAGGCGGTAGGATCCCAAGGAACCGATGGGGTCTGGTTAGACGGGCCCTTCCGTCAGTGGCCTTAAAAGTGCTGGACGAGAACCCACGTCTGCCACCCGATTGCACAGATGCAGGGTGGTACCAGGGCAACGTTAAGTACTACGTTATAAGGCTGCCATTAACAAGGTCGACGAGGTCTATCCCGGGGCCAAGCTGGCAGTTTGCGAGGCTGCAGACATCCCGACTCGACCGAGAGCGAGGGTGTGGCTTCCGTCGGAACCCTCGGAACCAGAGGCTATACTCATCCTGCTGACCAGGTTCAATCCGAAACTTTCAACAGACGGTTCACAGTGCTCTTGAAGCAGAAGCAGGGTTTTTGAAAATGGATGGAAGGTTTTTGAACGTAGAGTTTTCCTACATGAGCTCTAGTTTCAGAATTTTCAAACAGCGAAATCATACCTGATCCTATTTTAAAGATACATGTGTATATATCTTCATATGTATACTCTAAGTGGATTATAAATAAGTCTGCACAGATAATAATTTCAAATACAGATTAAATGTGTTTTATATATTTCTTTTGTATTGTTTTAGTTAATTTAGAGTTGGATTAATTAGTTTAATAAGACATCTTGTCAGAAAAAATTTAAATACTTGAATATACCACTTTCAGCGTAACCCGGGACCAACGGCGTGGACGTAGTGGTAATCTGGACCCATATTTTTTTTTGTAATTTTTTGATTTTTATTATATTTTTTTGTATTTTGTTTTTTTTATTTTGTTTTCGTTTTGTTTTTAATGTGGTTTTTCGTTTATCGAGAAATGTTCAAATGATGAAAAATAAAATAAAATGACGTCTGGTGCTACAGATAAATACGTCATTATTATATAAAAATTTGAGGAATAACAATCCTTTTTGGAATCGGAATTTCGATTATACATTGAGTGATGAAAATTCTACAACTGCTCTGAAAAGCCTCTCTAAGTATAATTCGTCTTCGATAGTATTAATTTTATACCTCTCCCAAGTTTGAGAGAATTCGCGGTGGAGTGACTCCCCACTTTGCTCAGACCAATACCCTAGTCCATTATTGTGTTCTATGAACTGAAGACATTCTTTAATGTGAGTTTTTAATACATGTATTTTCAATGTTATAGAGACGTCTTCAATTTCATGTAAAGCATCTAAAGCTTCGTTAAGCTCATTTAAATGAATATCCAGTTCTGGTCCTACTTTACCAGATGTGAAACTGCAATCGACAACTTTATTCATTATCACAAAAGCATTGAAAAAGGGTATGATTTTCAAATAACCGACTTTTTCATATATCTCAGGATCTTTTAGTTTGTGAGCTTCTTTTAAAAGTTTCCTACATGCGTTGCCTTCGAAACAATCTCCGTGGTAGTTTTTGGAAATAAGTTTTAACTTTTTCGGCCAGATCAAAGCTTTCTCTTTACCCAAAAGGGGTACTAAACCCTTCCAAAATAGATGATTTACTAAACCCATCAACACATGTAATTCAGGAATAACGCATTTTTCTAACACGGTGGTATCATCACTTTCTGTGAATAGAGGAGAGTTGATAGTACTGTGAAACTCTTTGCTGTTTTTCTTATTTCTACCAGAAAGATCGAACTGTTCGAAATCATTTCTTAAATCTCCGAAAGTTTTTAGTCTCGTGACATTGGTTTTTAAATTATTTGCATCCGAACTACAATGAGAACTGCTTACATCCTCCTGCGTAGGAGTCTTATTTTCTCTCAGGTCGTCGAGTGAAATGAAACAGTAGGGGCAAGGAAACATTGCAGATGCTGTCTGTTGGCCATTTATGATAAGCAACAATTTGAAATCCGAAACGAACTTAAAGGGAATATTATTTATTTTAGTGATTTCAAACAAAAGTTTAACATTTTCATATGTTTCCTTAATCTTAGGAACAATGCATAGCAACACAACTCGTTTCACGCTCATCAATTTCGCTTTCTTACTTGCGCTACCACCTTCGAAATACAGACATCTTCGATTCCTATTCTGAATTGTTGAATCATCATCATCATCGTAATCACAGTTTTCTTGAAATATTGATAGAGAAATTTTGAAAAATCCGCCACCCCCGTCGGCCATTGCTTTAACACAAACGTTTCCCTCTGTAACAACTGCATCAAAAAGTTCTTCTGCATCTGTGTAAACTACTGGTCTTTCTTCTTTTTTTCTATCGTCACAATCAAAAGAGTATTTACCTTTTTTATAAATATTTTGTAAAATTTTAGATTGCCCTGACATGTGCTTACTGTAATCAGCGGGTACTGACTTTCTCCCAACATTTGATCTTAGAAAGTTAGCAATATTCTTCATTTTATTGCTAGATAAGCCAAGATTCACTCGCAAATTATCCAAACGCTCCTCGCTGAACGTAGTGTTTTTTTTTTCATTCGGATTGACAACAATTTTCATTTTCGAACCCTTTGTACTCAACTGAATTTGCTTATTCCTAATGCGCCCGCTTGCATTGTCTTCAGAATGAATTTTTGTTTTAATAATACTAGACGCAATGTATTCTTGCTTTTTCTCGGGAACGTTTTCCATTAGTTTCAAGACACCTTGCATATTGTTACATGAATGCTTCTTACCTTTGCTGATTTCTTGTAAGCATTTTTTACACACTTGAAGGGTAATTTTTTCCTTTTTTTGGATATTTTTCTTTGCAAGTTTGTCAATATTTGAGGATCCATAAAGACCGTTAGTTGTGTCAATCTCAGATTCAAAGTTTCGTTTACAACCTCTACCCTTTACTACTTTTTCATGACCTTTATGTCTACCTGTTAAGCATATATAACAATTACAACTGTCCGTAGATGTGCGAGTATTTTTAGGTAAAACCAAACAAATGTAATCTGGCATACCTGGTAAAGGTCTTGTAAAAATATTCTTACTTGCATCAAATAGTGTAAGATAGCAGGTTCTGCATATGCTTAGGGGAAATTTCTCGTTATTTAAATCGTAATCTTTGTTTATAAACATCTTAATCAATGATTCATACTTTTCATTTATAAGAAATTCATTCGGCTTTCTTTTCCCGAAAAAAATTTTTTTACCGCAAGGTCCGCAGACTTTACGTCTATTTTCATCGTGAAGACAAGTTTTCGTATTGTCCATTAGAGCCTTGCAGTTTTTATGAAGTCTTATAACAATGCTGATATGTAAATAGCTCGTTACACCCGTGAGGCCTTGCGTCCATAGGGACCTGAGCACATACGCAGTAAGCATACGCGACTGTCAACTGTCGAGAGAAGCTATTGGTTCAGTTCAAATGTTTATATTATATTCAACCAAAAATTTTTCTCGACAGTCAACTGTCTTTCTCATTAGTAAATCAACTAAAATCAAATAAACTTTTGATGTTATATAACCTATGGACCTCCAATGACGAAATGAGCAATGTATTACTCATAATAACGCATCTATCACAGGTTAAATCAGTCTAACTTTAAAATAGGATCAGATATGATTTCGCTGTTTGCAAATTTTGAAACTAGAGCTCATGTAGGAAAACTCTACGTTCAAAAACCTTCCATCCATTTTCAAAAACCCTGCTTCTGCTTCAAGAGCACTGTGGGTTGGAAGGTGGTCAAGGTGGAAAAAACCGAGCGCGTCACCATGAACGTGGTTATCCTCCTGAACCAGGCCTGCTCTGAACGCCTCGCAGCCCAACAAAACCGTGTGAACTACAGGTTCGATAAGATGCAACTGCGCGTCTATGACACGGATAAGCTAGCGGCAGACAACTTGGCTGCCTATGCGTCGTACGAACCCCCGAGCGACGACGAATTGGAACATGAAGAGGCCACCCTCAACGGCTACTTGTCAACCGACTCGGAGCTGACAGAGAGCCTGAAGCAGCTGTGCACCCAGGACACAACCCGACCAGGGCGCACTGTTCTCCAGGACATAGCGGAGGAAGCGGAGGGTACCCAGCCCGACCTCGGTCCCAAAGATGCTGCAGTTTCTGCAGATTAACCTGCACCACAGCAAGGCAGCATCCGCTGCCCTCCTCACCCGCCTGGCAACAGGCAACATAGACGTAGTCCTCATTCAAGAGCCATGGATTGTTGGTAACAACATCTGTGGCTTATCAACCCCCCCATACAAGCTATTTTACACCAAGGACAAGGGTAAAACCAGAATCTGCATTCTTACAAAGACACACTTTAATACATTTCTTATTCCACAGTTTAGCGAAGGCGACCTCACCACGGTCAGATTGGAGCTAAGCGAACACACCCATCACACCATAGTATCATTCTATCTGGCTCACGACTACGAAGGGCCACTACCAAACACCACTACACTCATACACACTCACGCATCTAAGGAACTCATCCTGGGTTGGGAAGGCTAACTCACACCACACACAACCAACGAAAGGGGTGAGTTACTCTACGACTATCTCCTTCAATCAAATCTATTCATCTGCAACAGGGGTAATGAACCAACTTTCATCACTAGAAATAGGAGGGAAGTACTAGACATTACTCTTATATCTAATTCCCTACTTAACCAGCTAGAAGCGTGGAAGGTGGGGATCGAACACTCATTCTCAGACCACCGATACATAGAATTTACAATAAGTCTAGACTGTCCTCCCGCCGAGAACATCACTAATCTAAGATTAACGAACTGGGTATACTACAAAAATCTCCTCAACAGGAACCTACACGCTCCTCCGACACACATACGCAACCGTCAAGAACTAGATAACCTAGTTAACACTTTTACTGATATCTGCGGTGAGGCCTTAAAAAGGGCTTGCCCAAGCAGAACAGTCAAAACAAAGCACAAACCCCCTTGGTGGAACGCAACCCTGGCGAACCTTAAAAGAGAGTGTAGAACTTACTTCAATACAGCTAAATACAACAATAGCGAATCCTCCTGGAATTTATACCATACAAAACTAAGCCTATACAAAAAGGAAATTAGAATACCAAAACGAAGAGCTTGGGTAAATTTCTGCAGTAGAATAGAATCTACTGCGGAAGGATCCAGACTCAGAAGAATTTTAGCAAAATCTAAAAACCAATGCTGACAGCTGAACGGAAAACAAACTTCCCTAAAAACACCCATGGAGTGGAGGACCTCTACATAGAGGAAAACTTAGACGACCAGAGTATAGACAACATCTCGAGCCCTGGCCGCATTCAGTGGGCTGTTAACTCTTTTAAGTCCTTCAAATCCCCTGGCCCAGATGGATTCTCCCCGGCCTAGCTACAACGGACACTTGATATTTCCCTACCCTGGCTGACAGCCATCTTTTGCGGCTGCCTTGCTCTAAACCATATTCCAACAAGGTGGCTTGACGTTAAGGTAATTTTTATACCGAAAGCCGGCAAACTCTCCCACACCAACCCAAAGGACTTCCGCCCGATTAGTCTCTCTTCCTTCTTGTTGAAGACCCTCGAAAAGCTAGTTGACATTCATATCAGGCTAACCATCGACCAAAGCCTACTCTCTGACGCACAACAAGCGTACTGTAAGGGCAGATCAACAGATACCGCCTTCCACTCTCTAGTGGCCAGTATAGAGAGAGGTTTCCACAATAAGGAATACTCTCTGGCAGCGTTTCTAGACATAGAAGGAACCTTTAACAACGTCACCCCAACGGCGATTACTGGTGCTCTCACTGAACTGGGCATTGAGTGGCCCATAGTGGGACTCTTACTCACCATGCTAACCAGCAGAGTAGTGTACTCCACTATGGGATCAGCCCACTCGACCAGGAATATCAGCAGAGGAACCCCACAAGGGGGCGTACTCTATCCTCTTCTATGGGTTATAGTGGTCAACAAACTGCTATTACTTCTAGAAGAGGCGGGCACTAAAGTGGTAGCTACTGCAGGGCAAATTCCCGCAAACTCTTTGCAATCTAATGGAGACAGCCTTATCCACCCTCTCCAGGTGGACGGCTGGCTGTGGACTGGGAGTTAACCCAGAAAAGACCGAACTGGTTCTCTTTTCAAGGAAGTATAAGATAACAAATCTAATTCTCCCCAAACTACACCAAACGCGCCTAACCTTAACAACCAAGCAAAGTACCTAGGTGTCATCCTTGACAAAAAGCTTCTCTGGACAGACAACATCCTAGATCGCACACGCAAAGCGGCCATAGCTCTCTTCGCTTGTAAAAAAGCCATAGGGAGGAAGTGGGGTTTCTCCCCCATTATAGTTCACTGGCTATACATTGAAATAGTCAGGGCCATTCTTTTCTACGGAAACATTGTATGGTGGCATTCCCTAGAAAATAATTGCAACCTTCGGATCCTTCACAAGATCCAAAGAAGCGCAGAACTATGCATCAGTGGGGCGCTTCGCACCACCGCCACTGAAGCTTTAAACACAATTCTCGACCTCCAACACCTGGACCTACTTGCCAAAAGCTGGGCATCTGCAACAGCGTTGAGGCTCCGCGCAGTACAGACTACGTTACACCCATAGTCAACTTCGAAAGAAGATACAAGATCAGACTGGGACAACCTCCCACACCAATTCGAAAAGGCTGTCAACATATACACAGACGGCTCCAAGCTTAACTCCGAAACAGGTGGGGGAGTCTTCTCCACCAAACTAGACATAAAAGTCTCATTCCGCCTACCAGACCACTGTAGTGTTTTCCAAGCGGAAGTCATGGCTATTCATGAAGCCATGACCCACCTGGGCACGTCAACACATCATGACATGGATATTTTCATCTTCTCGGACAGTCAAGCAGCCCTCAGGGCCCTCGACTCCTACACAACAAACTCAAAAACAATCTCTGAATGCCGCAAATCTCTTAACGAGATGGCCACTCATCTGAGAATTAAACTCATCTGGGTGCCTGGACACCGCAATATTGAGGGCAACTGCATAGCAGACGAGCTAGCAAGACAGGGGACAACCGCCGATATCCTTCGCGGTAAGGACACGGTGGGTATGCCCATGGCTACCTGCAAGCTCCTTCTTAGGCAGAGACTGTACACACTTTCCAACAACCGTTGGAACTCAATCTCAACATGCCACAATTCTAGACTCACATGGCTAAACTACAACTCGAAAAGAACAAAAACTCTCCTACAATATAGCAGTGAGGACATCTCCACTCTCCTAAATGCCACTGTCTTATAGGGACTCATGCGCTCAGGCTGGGACTCAGTAACCACGACTTCTGCCAGAGCTGCAAACAGATAGACAAAGAGGAGAGCATCGAACATCTCCTATGCTTTTGCCGAGCGCATAACCTAAAGCGCTTTCAAACCCTAGGTAGCTACACACTTCCGAACCTTGCGGCCATTCAGGGCGTAAGCATCCAAAAACTCTTATGTTTCCTAAAAAGAACAAAATACTTCGCGAAAGCAAATGACCCATGATCTATGGAAAAGGATCTAACCAGAGATCATGTGGTATGACAAGGGGCCCAATGCGGCCTAAGTGTGGGGATTGGGATCTAATCTCCAACCACTCCTACCTAACCTACCTAACCTAACCTATGGTTTTGCATTATGCACAATCTTAAGAGTCACAGCAAAATTAAACATAACGATTTTTCTTCTTGACAATTTTGCCTGGTAGCCACTTATACATTTGCGGAGTGTATAATACATCGATGGTTATACGGGATTCGATTTGGACAAATTGTACAGACTATAAGTAGTTTCGATTGGACACTTTAAGTAGAAATGCTAAATTAGGCTTCGGTAGTAGGTGGTAGAGTTTAGCAAGTTAATCCATATAATCCAAGTTTGTGGGGCGGAATCACGAGTTACTTAATTTCAACAATTGCGTTAGACATGTTAAACGATTTACTCAGACGATAGGACATAGTGAGAGGCATGAAAATGAAACGACGAAAGGAAGAACAACTTGGAGTGCTGCTTGCAAAATATATTCCCTTCTCCGGCTGATCAGCAGATTAATATAGGTATGCGCCTCTAAGTATGTGTGTATAAGTATGTTATAAGCGATTTATATTTATAGGTTTATGTTTTTATGTCGGTCTGAGGATGTGATGGTGAGTCATTAAATGCTTGGCAGCTGCTTCTGCTCCAGGGCACACTCCCTCTACCAGAATCCGCCCGACGAGAATCCGCCAGGAGGGACTCGGCCACGAGCCTCTCCGTTCGTGGCCGCCTGTTTGTTCGCCGAATCCTTCGTCTAGATCGCAAAGTACAATCTCTGACCTGGAACAAATCATCGAAATGTCTTTTTGCATTGTGTTGATTGTTTAGATGTTACTCTGATCTGGGATCCCTCAGGGCGAATTGGAACCAGGCGCGTGCGTAGTTATCTGCCCATAAATAGTTTCTCTGGTGACTCGCCTATTGTGTAGTGTTGAGCGTTGTTGTACTGACCGTGGAATTCGTTGAGATCTACCTTTAAGGAACTAGAGGAAGTACCTATTGCTTTAAGGGCACCTTTGTACTTTGTACAGTTGTATATTGCGCTCTGCTTGTCGTTCGATGCTGATATGGAGCTGTGTACTTATGGTATTTAACTCCGATTTTGGTCAAAAAATCGTTGATTTAAAATTGGTTCCGTTATCGGTAACTACCAAACTTTAATACTTCGCAAAAAGATTATCCAGTAAAGCGCTGGTAGCTGATGCTGTGTTTAATTTCCTAACTGACATGGTAGGCATAAGAAATAAGTAGTCGGCATTGCTATTTTGGCCTAGTATTCAACCTAACAAAAAGTCGTCCAAAACCAAAAAAGGTATATAAAAAAAAAATCACAAAAATGTGTAGTTTTTTTATATAAAGATTCTGGTTTTGGACGACTTTTTGTTAGGTTGAATACTCTCTCGGGATCGAATGTTCGTCGATAATCATTTGCGGGTTTACTGTTTGTTTGTATTTGCCTACAATGCAAATACCTCCATTCTTCTTTGTAACTACATGTGTAGTTGATGCCCACTCTGATTCGACCGTTTGTAAAATTCTGCTTCAGTTTTTGATTCGATCTCCTTGCTATAAGCGTCCTTCGGTGCTAAGGGTACCTGTCTTGGTCATGTGAATATCGGCCTGGCATCTGCTTTGAGGTGATCTTTGGCAACCGGTTCCTTAAACTTGCCCGCTGTTGTACTGAAAACATCTGTAAATTGTTGGAGTAATTGTTGAAGGAGCCATATTTCGTCTGTACGCAAGACTGTTGTTTGTATTTCTATTGCGTTGACCAACTCTTTACTCGCATTCGAGATTCCCTGAGGTGCGGTGTGTGATCGAGAGCAAATTGGCTTGAAAAATGTACTACGAATTGTCAAATCCATCTCGTTCACATAATGTATAAATGTTTCCATCCACTACATACAGATTTAGCTTGT